CCCTTTTTTTTCTCCGTCTCTCTCTCGCACACAAGGTATCTACCACACTCACGGCTTTTCATCGACCAGTCGGTGAGCGCGGCTAACCCAACGAGACACGCAAGACACAACGCAGCCACGCACTCTCACTCACCACCTTACACAGCGGCAAGACGTTTTGCGCCGAACTCAGCGCCGCAGGCGTCTCCCCTCCAGACGCCATCCTTTTCAGCTCATCCAACCCGACCCCGAGCCCAACGGTGGCCGCTGCCGCGAAGCAGCAACCAGTCTGTGCCGAAAATACAAGGGTCGATATGGAAGAGGACGGTTAGGCAGCAGTGGCGTTGCGTAGTTGAAAATGCGTACTTTTTCTTCATTTGCATGAAAGGAGACCCAGGTCAGCGTAAAACACAAATCAATCGGGAATGGATCCATGTCAAACTCGTCCTCGAGGGCGCACTGGGAACATTCTCAGAGGTTCCCGGAAGGGGAAGAAGAAGTAAATATTTTTTTCGCCATCGGTTGAATGTGCCGCTTGTCTCCTCGAAACACACGGCCGGCGATATCGTGGCCCCCAGTCGGCGGCCGCTCCTCTCACCAGGTAGGCGTCGAAACCGGCCTCGTGCTCCCGCCCACCATCCTTGTAGCGCTCCTCGAACCCCGGCGCTAGCACGGCATCCCAGCCCCGCCTTGCGCGCTCCAACGCCTCCACGTCTCGCTTCGACGCCGTGGCCTCTGCCCCCGCCTCCAGCTGTGGCCCTGCCCCTGCCGCCGCCGCCGCCGCCGCCTCTCCGTTCGTCTTACTTTCGCCGTTCGCCTCCCCCCCGGAGATCGCCACCGCTGCCGTCCCGTCGACTTGCTGCACCTTCTCCGCCGCGCCCTCCGCCGGTTCCACTCCCGCCTCGGCCCCCTCTTCCTGCGTCGGCGGCGGTGGTGGTGCGGGGTACTTCTCGCGGAGCCACTGGTGCGCCTCGCCGAGAACCGTGCGCGGGAGCTTCATCCCCGCCGCCATGGCCTTCGCCATGACCACCTTGCTGTCGAACAGCCGCGGCAGGAGGGAGTGGAGGGCCCGCGTGCCATCGTCCATGTCGGCCGGAATGGGACCGACGAACTTGTCGTGCGTGTGAAGGAGGTCCTGCGGCAAAGCAGAATAGCGCGGGAGGGAGAGCAGGATACTGCTCGGTGGTTGTACAATGGGGGGGGGGGGGGGGGGGGGGGGGGGGGGGNGGGGGGGATGAGAAGGGGGGGTGCACGTTCCTTCCGAACGTCGCGTGGGAAGCCGAGATAGGCAAGAGGGCGACGGGAAGGTTGTTACACGCCTATCACGCGGTTTTGGGGGTTTCGGGGTTGGCGTATGGACGCAACAAGGGAAGGAGTAAACAGGAAAACACCAACAAGGCGATACAACAACCGTGCAGTGTAGCATACTCAATGGCATGCTAGAGGGTAGTGGCGTTTGCCGTCGAGAACTTGTCTCCGCTTGTGGTTCTAGCTATGCCAGTCGTGCACCACCTCGAATACACCGTGCCCAAAGCATACGAGGAGTACGGAGAAACATCCGAAAGCACGGCTAGGCTCGCCACGCGTGCAACGGTACTGGTGCCGGTGTGCGGTCGATTTGATGTCCGCGTAAACACGAAAATGAAACTAAACCGCCGAAACCACAAAAAAGCACACCCTCGACATCGAAAAGCCAAACACCAACAAACAAAATCCGGACGAACTGGACGGGTAGAAACAGAACAAGAGCCAAGAACGTTCACTCCCTCCTGCCCTGTGCACTCCTATGTACCACCGCTCGGCCGGGCGGCCGGCCGCCTCTCCTGCTACCCCACTGCCCATCGACAACGCAAAACAGAGACCAAAGCTGAGAGGCGGGCAGGCGACACGACGCGCGCACCAGCAGTCCGTTGTGGCAGATGACAGGCTTCCCGGCCTTGGAGATCTCGTCGACTACCCGCCGGAAGCCCACCGCTCTCCGCAGGTCGCCCAGCTGCCTCGCCTGCTCTTCGGCGCGGAGCTTGGCCTCCTCCTCCGCGTGCTTTTCGGGGTCGTCCCTGCAGACGGTCCGGATCTGAGGTTTTGGTTGGTGTCGAGGGGAGAGACCAACCAACACACAGATGTCAGCGTTCCGCACTCCACGTCCATGTTCTGACGTCGTTTGTGCACCAGTGAGTGCTAACGTTGGAAGGGGGGGTGGGGGGGGGGTGTACTCATAGTCGTGCATGCCGTAGTCGGTAGACCATTGACCTCGCATCCCTACAAAGCCGGGACGGAGCACGCCGGGTTCTCACCGGACCAGGCTCTCACATCACCAAGCGCGAAGCGCCGTGAGATGTTCGACGAGTCGCATGAAGGGTGCGCTGCATCCTGCTAAGGGTGTTCGGCATCTTGTGCTTACTTCCTTGCGTACGGATGTCAGCTGCGTATGACTTAATTTATTTTCTGGTGCTTTCATTTCCTGAGACCTTACGTTGGAAGGGGGTGGGTAATACCACCAACAACTCCGGTGCTCGTGCTGCTGGTGGTGTCGCGACCCTCTGTACAAACACGGGACACTCGACAGCATATTGCCAAAAACAATTCGGGAAAAACTACGGCCGGGGGGCAACGTGCCGCGAATTGTTCCGGCTCAAGGTTGCTGGATGAGGGAAGGCCCTGCGGCCCGCTCGGCTGAGATCACACTGAAGCTCTCAAAACTTCACCATATCCAAAGGTACAGCACTACGGTAGGCATGGTGCGCACACCACCGAGCGGTGTCCGAAAGCGGCACCTATGGGACACACCGAAGGAGCGGCATGCCATTATGTATTCATGTTTTCGTTCGTCTTCACATCAAACCAGCGCTCACAGAACTTGTGTCGTTTACTCCAATCCGTGGTCACACTCACACACAAGGGTCTCTCTTCCCTGAGGCCCCCTACACACCCCTCCTACGGTACTTTGCCTTCGACTTTTAATGCGAGAAGAGTGCAGCGCTCTCGTTCCTCTGTAAACACACCAACTACAGTAGCTTTCCACCCAGGCCAAGAACGGAAGCGAGAGAACAACTCACATTGCGAGAAAAGCTCGCTTACGCCGGGATTCGAATCCCTAACCCTGGCCGCTACAAGGTTTTCGAGGATACCATCTAGACCACCGGGGCGACCGGCAATGAATTTGGTAAAAAAGGCGAGAAGCGGGACCTTTGATTCTTGACACCAACGCCTACGTGCGTTGGCTGTACAATATGATACGCCGATTCTCCAGCGGCTCACCTCCATCGGCCTTGCGTGGGCGGGTCCCGGCAAGTTGGACAGCTTGATGTCGGCCGTGCTCGACCCCACAAACTCGTACATGAGCCACCGCTGCCTCCCGTTCATGGGTTCGAGCTTGACCGATTTCTGAACGTACTTGTCCCCGCTGGATGACTCCGCGAGGAGCGCCTCTACCTTCACAGAGGAGGGGCAACAAGGTACATGTGAGGAGTAGGCACACGTGACACAGGTGGCGCTCGCAGTTAACAAAGACAAAACACGCGACGTGTGCGCATCATATCATGGGCAAGAGAAGAAAGGGTTGTCGCGTCATCAGTAGCTAAGCATTGATCGGCACGCGCGACTAGAGGCCGCACATGCTCGGCGATGACTCCGCCAAGAGAGCTGGAAAATGTTGTCATGGGTTGAATGGATCACCTTCCTGCAGCTCGAGCTATTCAGCTCTCGTTGAGAGCTGCTCCCCTAATGATATGTAACATAACGCCACGGCCATTTTTCAGAATTTCCAAGCGTAGTCGGTCAGCTTTGACGACCTTGCTGGAGGAAGGAAACAATACCAGGCAGGAGGGGGAGCGACAACAAGCCATAGCCTAAACGTTTTCCCTGATGAATGTTGTAGACTTCAATGTGGGATCCACCCCTTGACCGCCACCCCTTGCCTGTTTCAACACAACAATGACAGTCGGCATCTTGCTCTCCGGCTGCTTCGACAAAAGCAATCTCGTGCCTCTACGATACGGCCTTACGCCCCTCTGTCATGTACCAAGCAGATGCCGTTGACTTGCTGCTCACTACGGCAGTGCCATGGTTACGGTGGTTTGAACATGAAAAACAAAACTCTCTCGTTCGTGCGCACCAAAAAAACAAATCCGTCACCGCTGTGCCCATTCAGCCCGCACCTTTTTCAGCGCGCCCTTGACCATCCCCTTCTCCGGTTCTTGCAGGCTTTCGATGGTGGTGCCATCTCGCGCGGTGTGGACCGGACCCTCAGCGGTGGTAGCACCTCCATCTCCCTCGCCCTCCGCCGCCGCCGCTGTCGCCGCCTTTGCCGCTTTCGCCTTCGCCGCTACGGCCTCTTTTCTTTCAGCAGCGACGGTCGCCTCCCACTCCCAACGCCTCCGCAGCTTGCCCTCGACCACCTCTTCCTCCGCCCTGGAGAGAAACGGCACGCCGTGCGACGCCCAGGCCTGAAAATCGAAGCCGTGCTTGCTGCCGGGGGTACAACAGGGAGGCCGCGACCGGGAGCAGAGAATCAGGATGGGTCGGTAGTGGGGATGCGACCGGGTGCGTGAAAGAATATGATCGGATGGGAGGGACGCAGGGATGAGATACAGCGGAGCACGGTGTGTTCGCCTGGGCGACGTCCCGTCCGCCATGTGGCGTGCTTAATAGACGCGGAACGTCTGGGTTTCGTGAGAGTAGGCGAAGCGAGATCCATGCTCTCCGGTACCTCAGGAAGTCCATGGAGGACGCCTGGCAGCTGTAGACACGATCGGAGCCGTGGTAGGTCGAGGGCACGACGAAGCAGTTGAACGGCCGGGCCTCGAGGCGTTCGTCGTCGTACCGGAAGCAGCAGATGCCGTACTGTGTCAGCATGAACTGCGAACATGAGCCTTTGGCCAAGTCGTACCGCGCCTACGAACGTTGCAAAAGCGCAAGGTGGAATGAGGGGAAAGAGGGAAACACGCAGATTCGATTTCCACGCGTGGAGCAAGGTGGATATCAAGAAGAGCACATACATCCACCCTGTTATGGCCCCGTAGCAGGCTTAGCGACGCGTGCACGCTTGGTTTGAGGTTTCTACTTGTTGCACAGACCACCAGCACGAACACGAATAAACCAGTACCATCTAGACTGCACTCCAGCAGAGCACAGCAGCGACACGTGGTCTCTGCACTGCTGTACCTGGACGCTGTCCATCATCTTCTCCCTGGCAGCCCCTGGGAGCCGGAGTCCTGGTGGCAGCAGAGTATGAATTATCAACAGGGTAGAAGTGCGGTGGGGGAGACACAACACAGGGAGGAACGTTTCAAAGCCTAGGCGATACATACGCGGTTGTGTAATAATATTTCTCTTCGTGTTAGTAACCGTCTTGCATTCGCCACACATGCATGTATGCATACAAATCGGACCCTACTTGTAAATGCGAATCCATCTCTATCTTCAAAAGAGTCAAAGATTAGATTTTGATAGCGTCAGGAAGGCTAGACATGCGCGTATTTTTTTATTTCATCATTATGACCAAACACATCCATCTCTATCGAAGAAAGGCGTCTATTGCCACGATTTCAAAAAAAATATTTTTTGTGTTTTTGTTTGTTTGTTTTTCTCCCATCATTGGACTCTGTCGTCTGCCCTTCTTGCCCCTATCCTCCACTTCTACTAGCTAGACGACCCAACCGGGGTCACATAGGAGGGGGGGGTTGGACCCCCTCCTGCGGTTCATGCCTGAGGTATTTTTATCGCGAGAAGGGTACAGCAATCCCTTCCCTCGCGGCGTACGAAGTCGATTATGGTTTACTAACAAACGAGCTTTGCAGCGCGTCGCTTTCATCCTAGACCAGGATTTATTTAGTGAGAAAAAAACTCTCTCTGCCGGGACTCGAACCCATGACCTGGCCCGAAGCAAGCTGCGAGGCTACCCACTAGACCACCGGGGCGACCGGTTCTGTGTGCCGTGCGTGATTCATGTCTTTGGACACGTCTCTCACCGGCTTGCGAGTCTACTTGTGACCAAGACGCCGCCCAACTCGCTGGAAGCTAAGGGTCTATAATACCAATATACTGGGATGCTGCTGGCTTTGCAACACAGGCCCAGAAAGCAGCGTGGCAGTGTCGCTATCACAACGATGAGGCGACTCGCGCACACAGCAGTCCATCGAAGGTACCAAAGGTTTGTTACCTGTAAACTCAGTGTCCAGGGCGATGAAATGGGATGAATGGATGGCTTCACATATTACCTCGAACGATTGCTCGAAGTTTTCCTTGGTGATATTCATGCGAGCGGTGTGTAACCGGGCGTGGTGGGTGGTGGGTGTGGTCCGTTTCTGCAGTGCCTTAGGATGTGGAGAGATCCATCGGAGCCCCCATCCCCCCCCGACCCACCCGCGACGCCGACCCTCGACCCCCCGACGCGTGGAGCGGACACACCACGCCGAGAAGCGGAGACAGAGGGAGACAGGGCAGCACCACCACGCACAGCAGTAGAGTACAACAACACTTGCCGTGTTGGTCCATGCCGAGTCTGCTCCAGATATATTCATCACTTGGCCGTCTAGTCTAACGTGTGTTCTCCACGGTCGTTGGTATATTGATCGATCCCCCAACCGGTAAAGCTACAGAAGTAGTTGTCCCGCGTTGTCGAGACGGGCGGGGGCAATGGCGGCTTCCTCCCAACCGTCTTCGAGCCCTCCTCCCACGGCTGACAGCTTGGTGGTGAACTCGGACGAGATGCGCATCCTCATGCAGCACAGAAAGTGAGTTTTCTGCCTGGTCGTGTCGGCGTGCGTCTTTCGTGTAGCCGGTGAATATGTCTGTCTGTCTCTTGCCCCTGTTTGGCTGCTGCTGCTGTGTAATCTCGCCGCCTGCCCCGCCGGCTGTTAGCATGCATGTCCAGGTTGTTTAAAAGTACCTGATGTAGTGGAGTCATATCATGATAGTAGATATCGTTAACGATAGCAGCAGTAGGTTATCCATCCCTCGTTGCCTCGGCCATCCGCCGTGGGCTCACTGCTTTTTAGCGTGGTTCCGGTGAGTACAAGCTACTACTGCTGTACCGCGCCGGCTCTTTTCAACCAGGTTAGCAACCAGTAATGCGTACCGTGGTGCTGTATAAATGCACTCGCTGCGTGTCGGAGCGAGAGGAAGCGGGCACACCGAACTTTTGCATTCGTCAAACTACGTACGTATCACAGAGGCGTTGTACGGCTGAAGGTGGAACTGCCTACGCTCATTCCATGTAGTGCGTAGCGCTTTCCTTTCCAGCATCAGTGTATCTAACTCGCCACGCTTCTTCCGGCTTGTGACAGGGAGCTAGACGAAAGCCTTGCGCAGTTGGAGGCGCAGATTTTTCACGACGAGGGCTCGTACATAAAGGAAACCCCATGCGGTAACGTCATCCGGGGCTTCGAAAACTTTCACGACAGGTGCCCGGGCGGTGTGTGCTCTTCTCAAGCCCAGCAAATGCAATGTTGTGTGATGTGTGTTATCGTTGTGTCCATGGTATATTTCTTGACAAAGTGAAGGTAGCCACGTTCGTTTGTTTGTTTTTTTCGTGTTTTGATCGCTGTCCCCTTTCGAGACGGGATGACTGTGCTGAAATAGGGCGACAGTGCGTGTAGTTCTAAACGGCGAAGACAAACGCGAAGCATTTTCGCGAAACCTTTTCGCGAAGCCTTGTGCCTTGTCAGCACCTTTAGCCCACCGGCTACAATCCCACGTGCTTCTCGGACAGCGACTCGTCTGTCTCTACCGGCTTTGAGGCACCCTTAAGTCAAACCGAAAGAAGAGAATCGTTCGCCCCTTGGCGCTTGTTGGCTCTATCCGATTGCACCCGCGGGTGCGATGCTGTGCTTCTTTTCCCGACACTTGTTTGTGTGTACGCGACGTTGTTCGACGCATTTTGTTCCTCCGGCCCAATCCATACTTTGGGAATACTGTGCGGCTCAGCAAACTCAACGCTGAGCAGCCCAAGAAGTCCCGCATGGAAGTCATCGAGGAGCGGATATTCAGCAAGTCCTCTTTCCTCTTCTGGCAACGATCTCGGGATCGGTGGGTTCTGTACAACAGCTTGGTCGGTAGTTGCGGTCCAGCTAACGATCTGACAGAAGGAAAAACAAGTTTGAAAGCTGACAGAACAGATTTAGACGAGAAAGACAGAGTCAAGTTCAGGCGTCGGATTGTGTTATTGTCCCCTTTCAACGGGACGGTCTAGACCGCCTAGGAGCGTTCGGGTTTGTCAGCCATGGAGTCCTCTCTCTCTGATCCTACCTTACGGCGGAACGATCGAGAGATATCGGTTCGGTCAGCCCCCACGCACACGAGCTCTCGCGTGTCTGATGGTGCTGCCGTCAATTACGCTTCATCTTGTCATGCTCTTCGGTATTTCTTGCCTGCGAGACATGGAGCCAGCCGCGTGTCACGAGGGATACGCTTTATGCAATTATTTCCAACAGCTTGACCGTCACCGCGGATACAAACGATATGTGTTGGGCGGTGTCGTCGTTTTCGCCGTCAGGGCGGCGAAAGAAGAAGCGAAGAAGCACGAGCGCGAGCAGCACCACGCCATGCTCGCCAATCGGGGAATGTTAATGGGGGGCGGGAGCGGGGGTGGGGGTGGGGGTGGGGCCAACGGCGCGGCAGAGGGAGTCGGACACGTTCAGCCCTTGGGTTACGGGTCGTACGGTGAGGGTGTAGAGTGAGGCATGAGGCAAAGAGGGGCACAGATATTCAGATACGTAGAGACGGGAGAGAGTAAGACTGCAACAAAAGACATTATACAACGAGGCAATCTGTAGATGGAGAAATAAGAAGGCGGAGGTGGAGAAAGTAAAGACGGCAAGGCACGAAGCAGGTGAAGCGGTCAACAGGCCAGCAAAAACGTGTGCAGATCTGACTCGCTCGAACGTCTCCTGTTGCTCCTGTGGGCGTTAACCCGCACACAAACTTGATGCGGGGCCTATTATCTGTATGCTAGGTTCTGCCGTTCACGGCGGCAGCGGGGGGAACGTGCACGGGGGCTCGGCGGCAACATCGGCCGTCAACCACGGCAGTGGCAGCCACAAGCACAAAAAGCGGCATCCAGACGGGCACAGCCACGGCCACAAAAAGAAGGTGGGTGCTGGAATAAAGAGGGTGATGGTGTGGGGCGGAGTGTTGATGACGCCTGCTTGGAGCATGTGCTGCCGCCGAATACAGCCGCACTCGGTACCTGAAGCAGTGAAGCCTGCTTTTGAGGCGAATGCCTGTTGGCGCTGTTGGAATGAAACGGCCGACAAATGTGGCAAACTCCCCGCCTTGTAGAATCAGATATAAGCTGATCTTAAACCGATGTACACCCCGTGTGCACACGAACAGGTTTGAGGCGCTATGAGTAGGTGTACCCAGTCACGAGGGTAACATACAGTCACGAGGGTAACATACAGGAAACAGATGGGCTTGGGTTCTCAATCTGACACCCCTGTTGTTTTTCCATAGAGCGCTCTTCGTTTCTCCGCTCGATTTCGAGGAGACGTTCGATAAGGTTTCAGAGGCTAGGCTAGGACAGCGCGATGTATGGTCGCCGGGGGTGAAAAGTTGGAAGCGAAGTTTGGCCTCATCAATTTTGCTCCGTTAACATTGATTGTGCTTCGTGGTAGCTTCCACAGGGCACGCACTGCAGCTGCCCGTAGTTTGGGGGATCGATGTCTCTTTGGTTCGAACAGACCCTTGCCGTCTTATGGTGCGCTACATACACCCAGTCGCACACCATCTAAGTCGCGCGAATATCGCAGACATTGTCCACACCTCTCACGTACAAGCCCACACCACAAACGTCGCCCTACACCTACCCCGCTAACATGGCTTGCGCTAAGCTCGCTCAGTCTACAAGGGCTTCTGAAAGTGCCAGGGAAAGCGCAAGCGAACCCAACTCGGCCCACATGAATGACAGCTCCGCAAAGCGAACCATTGGACGTACTTTAGGTACGGCATGTATTTCTGCTCCTTCACGGTGCACTTTCGCGTCCTTGTCTTCGATGGTTCCATAAAGCAGAAGAAGAAGCGGAGTTCGACAGCGCTTGGATCGGGGTCGGGCTCTTTTGCCGGTGGGGGGTCTCAGGGCGGAGGCGGCGATGGAACCGGGGGCGGCAATTCCGGGTCGTCGGTGGCAGCCAACCGTTACAACAACGTTTAACTCCAATTGTCAGGGGGACTTTGCTGGATGTAATATATATTTTTGAACAAATAGAAGAAACACGGAATGGAGAGACCCTTATCTTTCCAAGCCTCGGCAATGCTGTTGGGTTTGTGCTTGGTGCTGTTTTCTTTGGGTGTTTGGTTATTTAATTCGTTTTCTTATGTAAGTGCTGGGAGTGGGTGGACGCCCGTTCTCTTGGCTGTTTTAACTTGTGGTGTGGTGGATAGCCCATTGGCCTCGTTCGAGCGAGACACCTCATTAACTCTTCAAGAGAAGATTCCTTCGAGCGTTTGTTATCTTTCGCTCGCCACGTTTTTAAGAGCCGATCGGCGGCGTACAACCTGCCTTGTTACAAGTGTTGTTGAGTTCCCGTGTATAGCAGTGCTTGATGAGCCAATTTGAATGTTTTGAGTCGAAGGACTAGTCTCTCTATTCTGCAAGTCGTTCGCTCTAGTCTTTGAGCAACTGCTGTAACAACGTGTGCTGGGCGGAGCATCAAGTTGTAGAGATCGCCCCCGATTTGATGTGCTAGGTGGGTGCGGTGTGTTCACTCGAGCAGGAGGGTGCCGACAAGACTTGAAATCGTGTTACGCTGCCGAATGTCACACACGCTTCTTACACAGTGATTGTTGCCAAGAGATTATGTGAGCTCTTTTCGGTCATCGTATTTGACGGCTGTTAACACTAGCTGCAGAGGAGGTAACACACGCATCTTTCTTAGTAATGTGGTACGTTGTGCTTCGTTGACCCTCGAAGTACGCAATGATGCACGCGCTCTTCGGCCTCACAGCGCTGTTGTTGCACAGCAATACAAACGAAAATGAAGATACTTTATGTATGTGGGTGAGTGTTGTTTTTCTGTGGCCTCTGTCAGTGTGCTACACTTGCTTGCTGGCACAAGCATCACCCACGGGCGGAGCTTTTTACAACAGTTCGGACTCGTGTGTTCACGTGAAGTCTGAGTGCTACACTCCGTAGTTCGAACATACGTTCGTGGCCCATGCGAAAACCGCAGGGAAGATGTTGGGCCTGGGGGAGGGGGGGGGGGGG